GGAAACTTCAATCACCATGGAAGATGATGATCCTTTTGGTTCTATAGCGGAGCTATGTCAGGTGTCGTCCTCTCAGGAGTCCCTCTTACGCCGCTGCCGCTTCTTCTACCAGGCCAAAGCCTCTGCCTGCTCCTCAGACGAGGAAGGCGACTACAATGATCCGGCGTACATTCCGGTGGATTCGACTGGTATTACCATGGTTTCCCCACCGGAGTCCGCGGATAATGAAAATATGCATCTCGAAGACCTGTTTCATACCCCTCCTGAAGGGTCCCTCTCCGCCGATCACGGTGAGGACCATAGGACCATCGACGGAGGTCGCTATGCGGAAGGGGATACTGTCCCCGTTGATACCAATTGTGTGGATGACATAATGGCGGTCGATCTGGGGAGGGACACTGACCTAGTTTTTTCTGAAGTGGAAGTGGAACCGACGCAGAGGATGGACATCCATTCGGATCAAAACGTCGCGTTTCAAAGTGAACCGGATGAAGCTAGGGTTTCGAAGAGCAAGTTTTCTCCAGCCGAGCAATCACTGGGAGAGTCTCCGTTTAAAAGGTTGAAAATTTCAAGTTTTGAATCGTCGGATTTAGGTCTAGCAACTGTACAAGAGAAACCGGAAGAGGAATTCTTGAAATCTTCCGAGAAATTGAAGTCCGTGAGTGTCAGTCCGTCACCAATAGATCTCTCCGGGACATCAGGTAAAAATACGGATTCTTCTGAGACATTGGAGCTTCCTCTTTCGAGTTGTGAAGTTGGTGAAGGTATTCATAACAGCAGAGAGGAATTACTGAAATCTTCTGAGATATCGAAGTCCAAGAGTGTTAGTTTGGGTTTGAGTTTGAGGGTTCGTCCTGGGAATGTTGCAGATGAAATTAGGGATTCTTCTGGGACATTGGAGCTTGATAATCCGCAAAATCATGTTTCCAATTGTGAAACTGGTGAAGATATTTATACCAGCAGAGAGGAATTGTTGAAATCTTCTAATGTATCAAAGTCTAAGAGTGTTAGTACGGTTCGTTCTGGAAATGCAAGAATTGAGGATTCTTTTGTGACTTTGGAGCTTCAAAATCAGCAAAATCATCTACTCCATAGTGAAGCCGGTGAATTTAATCACGCTAAAAGAGGAGTGGAGTTTTCAACTGAAGTTATTGACTCTGAGATTGAGGATAGAAATATAGAGAGCTGTATTAAAGGAATGTCTGATGGGGAGAAGATGAATATGGAAGACATTGACAAGTTTAGGTACACTGGTGCAAATTATTCTAAATTGTGTGAAATGGAGGGGAGAGCCAAGGGAAAACGCGTATTGCCTTCTCGGATTTATGCCACGGTGGGAGCTGCTGCATCATCAAAAACTGCACCACAGGGGGCTGCTGTCACCACATCATTAAATACAACGTGGGAGGATACTGCAGTGGCTGCCACATCGCAAATGATTGTGTCCGAGGGGACTGCTGGGAATGTGTCAGAATCAGATGTTTTACCTGAGAAGAAATCCACGAATTCTTTTCTTCTGGATGTGTTGAAGGCATTGGGAAAAGATGATGATTCATGTAATGAAAATCTGAAGCACCTCAGTCTCATGGAGGTGTTGAGGAGGCATGGCATGGCATTCACTCAGCCTAGCAAGGATGATGATATGTGCAATGAAAATCTGAAACATCTCAGCCTCATGGAGGTTGTGAAGAGGCGTGGTGCAGCATTTACTCAGCCTAGCTGGTGGCCAAAGGAGGGACTTGAAGTAAAGAAATGATTGGAAAGTGGTCTTTGGAGGTTCATGTTGCCATGATTGTATTTTGGAGTATTGGGAGAAGGAAATCAATGTGGGGGCAGTTTCCAGCTACTGGTGAGAATATTTTGACTATAAAAAAACTGAAGGGCTAGAAGTAGTCCTAGACTTATATGTTCTTAATTTAATCCACATGGAGGAATTTCTTTTTGGAGAAGGGCCTTTTGTTTATAACCTTCTAATTTCTATAGCAAACTGCGCACATAGCTGTTTGTTTGAGTGCTTGAACTTGTGGATTCATACTTGCTTAGTTGAGTTTGGTTGTGGTTCAATTAAAGATTAGTGTTATATTATATGTTGTTTGAAGTCAAGCCATTTGCATCAAAGAAGGAAAACAGGTGTAAGGCGGTGCCTTTTCTTTCTCCCCGCAATCAAGGTAGATGTGTAATATTTTTTAGTTATGTATCAAAGCATAGTCACTGAACTCTATCTTTTAGCTGAATTATTATATGGTTGATTTTTGAAAAGGTTGAAATTTGCTCTTTTTAGTCCACTACATAACCTATGCACTGTAGCTTTTGGTATATGCAGAGAAGTATGATTTCGACTTCCCTAGAGTTTTATCTTTTATTGGTTTTATTGCTGCTTTTAACAGACCTGGGTAGGTGCAGCACTTTCACGTCCAAGGCATCCCCTTATCTCATAGAGCACAAGTTGGGGTGAGTGGTCATTACCTCAAAATCCCACATATAAGAGACCTTCAAATCTCGGAAATTAGTGTAGTTTAGGATTTTTTGACATCTCAAGTAAAGTTCCTGTGAGTTTTCTAAGAAAACAGATCATAGAAAGCACAATCATATTTGATATTTTTTAAAATATAGAAAGTAGAATCAAGTGACAACTAAATTAAAAGGAGCTCATTTACTTAAAAGAAGATTTTGATCATCTCCTATTTTTTAAATCATACCTTGTCCCTTTAGATTGCTTTGGTTTTCAGACTTTTGTTGCATTACTGTTTAATTCATTGGTGCAGCTAACTCAGATATGTTGAGGACTGGCACTGAAGTGCAGCAGCTAGCAGCTCAACATTCCTCTTCACCACAGAATGTTGTAAAGGATGAAACAGTACTCAAGCTTCAAAACCAGTTGACAACAGGATGTGCCAACAACTTATGTTGTAGATATTTCCTTTACCAAGGATGCTGCAGACTTTGTTCCGGTTTATATTTCTGTTTTGCCTGTTTATTTTTTTTATAAAAAAAACGGGTCTTCATGGTTTAAGATCAGACCAATGGCCCAAACAAGGCTCGTGGTCTTAGCAATGGCCCAAACAAGCAATTAAGGCTCGCGGGCTTAACATTGCGTTTGGTGGAGTTTAATTTTGGTGTAAGCAACTTTATCTCTTAGAAGGTAATCTGTTTAGTTATACATTATATTTACACAAAATCTCAACCATTTCTCTCCACTTTCAATAAGTGAGATTTTTTCACATTTATTAAAGATAATTATCTTTTTCATAAAAAAAAGTCATGATAAATGTTAAGTATTGAAAGTATAGAAATGAATGATCAAGATTTTGTTTAAATTTGCTATGTAAGATTTATGTGTAAAGAGATCGCTATTCCATTCATATAGAGAGAGAGAAGTTAGGGACATTTTGGTCTTAGCATTAGTCTTTGTAGTAGTATTGTTTGATTTAAAGCTTTTGTAGAAGAGTTTTAATCATTAATTCAAATAAAAACATTATAAAAATATTTAAAAAATCATAAAATTATAGAATTCAAAAGGTAATCATAAAAGCTTTACTCTAGAAGTTATATTTATATATTCAACTTCTACTTGTCATCTACATTCATGGCTTAGTGCTAAAGGACTCAGTAGTATAGTATTTTAATCCTAATTGTAAACTTGATCACTAACATTTATTTCCTTTCCCTAAATAAGGTAATTGCCTTGCTCACAAAAACATATCATTTATATGTATCAAACAAGTATTGTTTTTGTTCCTTTGTCCCAATTAATGTTTGAAATCTAATTGGTGATAGATTCATTTTGCTCACCAGTTTCTAGTTCAAGCTGTTTGAGTGGTTAAACTAGTTGGCAGGCTAAATCAAATAAAAATAAAGGTGTTTTTGGTGATTTTGGCATCTTTCTAATGTATTTCACATTTTTTTTCTTGCAATTTCTAGCCTTATCTAGCAATTTTCAGTATAAATTAAACTTGAAAGATTTGCAAATTCACATAATAATAGCAAAAGCAAGTCTCAAAGCCAAATATTTATAAAAAACAAGTTTTAAAACTAAGTGGATATATGTCATACAAGTCTTAAAATTAATAAGTTTCACACACACACACACACACACACACACAAAACAAATCTCAAAAATTCAACCAAATATGCAAATGATGCATAAATTGAATTAGTTCCTTATTTTTCCCTTAGATGTGCAAGATCATCCTTAAATCAAGTTTCATGTTCATGAAAATCATTCTTACAATCATAACCATCATCATTTGCTTCACCAATTGACTCCAAGTTAATTCCTCCATTGGCACTACCAATATGGAATGATTTCTTTCACCACCTTGCCACTTCTTCATCAATATCATATGTGCCACCTTGAAAGTTGAAAAGTGACAACATGTAATAAATAAAAGGCCAAAGCCCCAATTTCCACCCTCCACCTTTTTTCTTTTCGAGGTCAATACCTTAAACTAATTTTTGTCTTGGTCAACACCATCTGTCATTCAAAACCAGTAAAAAAACTCAATATTTTAATAGTAGACCACATGTCAGTCATGTGAACTTTAAGAACTTCTAAAATGTACAATAAGTGGCACCCAAACGATGATGTGAACATTACGTGGCATTGCTAATCTAATGTGAAGTTTTTTAGATGAGGTGGCATTATTTTTGTACACATGGATGCCACATGTGCAATGGGAGACCACTTGTTGGTAGGACTTTTCCTACTTGTCTCTGCATCCCAAAAAAAACAAAAAACAAAAACAAGGAACTTTAAGATCTGTAGTCCCTTTTTGGAGATTTAGGGTTTGGCTTCTTTCCCTTTTCATTCTTTTCTAATCTTCCAATCTTCCCCTTTCACTTTCTTCATGTGGTGCATTGATTTCATGTGATTGTCCTCTTTTAATCTTATATGATGGGATTTCTGAGTATGACTAGCCATCACCCATCCGTAATGGCGACTGCATTAAGGCACTCAAATCCAAGACACTTTTATGAATGTCTAGACTTTAGGGTGGGTTTCAAATGATTATTTTATTATTATTATTATTATCTTTTAGTTTCAGTAATGATTTTATATGGTCAATTTGCTTATAGGTAGTATTGTAGAAAGTGTCACCTAAGCATGCTAGGGTGGCACTTTTGCGGTGGGAAAACCTTTACCACCCATCTTAACTCATATGCGACAAACCAAAGGCACAAACTGTCAAAAGGCGGTGAACAAGAGAGGTAAAGCGCTATAAAGCGCTAAAGAGTGTGATTGGTAGATTTGGACAGCACTCAAGAGCGGTCAAATGCTCTCGTGTGTCACCCAATCTCTGACATGATTTGGTAAGGATTTTTTTTTTGTTATTTTTTAACCTCATACAAAATAACATCGTTTTGTTCAACCCCTTTTTTTTCTTTTTGTCTCTTTGTTTTTGCTGAGCATCTTTATTATTTGTAGAAAATCCCAACTTTTAATAGATTTCTATCAACCAAGGGTAGTCTTTTGATCTTCAATTGCATTAGAGTTGGCCAAGAGACAAGTTGAAAGGATTTAGAGGAAGAAATTCAAAGGCCCTAGTTTCTCCTTTATTTGTTCTCAAACCTTATTGTTTCTCTCCCACCAAACCACTCATCTTCAAGCTTGGGTTTCACTTCAACAGTTCAATTCCTTTTCAACTTTGATTCCTTGGCTTTGTTCTTTCTCTTCCACTTGAGTAAAGCTTTACTTCAATTATTTATATATTCAATTTTTTTTCTACTCATTTTTACTTGCCTGTGATCAAGCTAAATATAGGTTTAAATCTTGCTTTTTTTTTTCAAATTTTCAAGTTTTGTTGGATTTGTGTGTAATCTTCTTTTATTTTATGCGGAATTATATTTAATCTTTTTTTTTGTTGAAATTATATTTAATCTTCTTTTATTTTTTGAGAGTATGAATTGTGAAATATTTATCAAACTAGATATGAGTTTGGTTATTTATTTCTTGAATTAAATGAACCACGAATTGATTTTTTTTTTTCTATAGAAAATGACTAGTGATAGTGGTGGTGGACTTACTGCCATGAATGGAACTATTTCAACAGGTTTAAAAAGGAAGTTAACAGATATAAGATGGGACAATGGACATCTTTGTGATTCAAAAGATTTGAATGCCACGAGGTGCAATTTTTGTAAAAACACATACAACGGAGGAATCAATAGATTGAAATATCACATTGTTCATGTTAGCAAAGATGTTGGTAAATGCCAAGTTGGATGAAGCTAAAAAAAGATGTTTAGAGGCATTGGAAGCAACAAAGAGATCAAAGGTGAATACAACACTAGTTGAAGCTAAGTTGGTAGATCAAAGTTGTTGTTCCATTAAACAACAGCAACAATAGCAAGAAAGTCTCTACATTGATTTTGATAATGTTGTTCAACAAGAAACTTTTCCACCATCATCAAGTAAGTTGATAGGGAAGGTTGGTTTAAATGATAAATATGCAACCAAGAACATCAATGTAAATAAAGTATTTGAGAGAAGTTTAAGGCAAGCTAGTGCAAAAGAATCTCTGGATAAAGGAAGGTTGAATGATGTCCATCTACATGTGTCAAATTGGATGTATGAAGTTGGTATTCTTTTCAATGCCATTGCTCATACAAGTTTTCATGCCATGGCAAATGCTATTGCTGCATATGGAAAAGAATATTGAGGGCCTAGTCAATATCAATTAATTGAGCCTTTTTTTAAGAAAGCTATTGAGAGGACAAAGGAATCATTGAAACAAAATGAATTAGAGTGGAAGCAAATTGGATGTTCAATAATGACCGACTCATAGACAAATTAGAAGAGAAAAAGTATCATGAATCTATGTGTCAATTCTTGATTAGGTACAATGTTTCTATCTTCCTATGAAGAATTTGTGAAAGCACACACTACAGAATTTATAGCTAATTATGTCATTCAATGCATAGATGAGATTAGGAATGAGAAATTGGTTCAAGTTGTAGTAGACAATGCTTCAAACCACATGGTAGTTGCAAAAATTATCTTCGAAAAGAGGCAAAACTTCTTTTGGACGTTATGTGTTACTCACACAATAAATCTCATACTTGAAGGAATTAGTAAGTCTCACATTGTGTAAAGAAACCATCTCCAAGGCCAAGAACCTCACTATTTTCATCTATACACATCA